CCTCTATATTAGTATAGAACTAAAGAGAAAGATATATACTATATTATTTTATTATACCTACTTTATATAGATATAAAACTACTAAATTAGCTGCAGAATAATAAAGAGGTTAGATAGGCTCTAGCCTGCTCTAGGCTAGCTAAAGCTAACTTAGTAGTTTATTAATATAGGCTAAATAACTTATTACTAACTAGCAGTAAAACTAGCTAAAGAGTAGAAGGTATAACTACTTAACTAGACGCTTAAAGTAGAATTATAGTAATACTAGTAGAATGCTAGCCTATAGGTATAATAATAGAGAAGCTAAAAGTTATTAACTTTATTACTATAGAAAAAACAAAAAATAAGAAACACTAAGCCTATAGTATTATAGCTAGTAATACTACTAGAGGCAGCTTAATTTTAAGCTGCTCTCTACCTACCTACTTACTTTTCCCCCCTTAAAATTTTCCCTTCTTTATCTTAAGAAGAGTTGCAACCCCCCTAGCGCCTCTTTGCGCTAAGTCTAGCTGTAAGGCCCTTCTACTTTATTATAATAGTATAAGTACTTATAGTTTAGAGTGCAACTTTTATAACTAATAAATAGCTTTTGCATTATTTTAGAATCTAAACAGCCTTTACTTTAGACTTAGCTGTAGTAGCTACTAATATAGCAATCTCTTCTAGCTGCTCTAGAATCTTCTTATAATAGTCTATGCTATTATTAGAACCTCTAGCTAGTGCTAAGCTAGCTTAGGCTTAACTCTTCCCCTTCTAATTATTAGCCTTCTCTAAGGCTTTAAGATTCTTAAAAAATTAAGAAGTAAACTAAAATAGCTAGTTAGCAATATTAAGCTAGAGATAAAGCAGACTACTTACTATAACGCAAGATAGTATTATCTTAGCAACTGCCTCTAGCTCCTTCTAAAGGTAGAGAAAAATAAAATAAGTCTTAGATATTATATTATACTATAGCTAAATTAAAGCTAGAGAAAGTTTAATATTAAAACTACTTATAGAAATATAATAATTATATAATAGTTAAAGTATAATACTATCTTTAACTTAATAATTTCCTAGTATAAATAAGCCTAGAGCTTATTTAGCTTTAAGCTAGTAGTAGTGGCAGTAGCTAAGATTTAAGTAATATATAAAATATATATAACTTTATAGGCAGAACTAAGCTATATATAGAGTTAAAGCTAGAATAAAGATAGAAATAAAGATATATATAGACTTACTAGCAACTTTTTAGAACTAGGACTTAGTTATTATTTTGCTCTTAAAAGCACTAGAGGTCTTTATAGTAGTTAGCCTTTAGGCAGAGAATAAGCTAGCGCTAGCTTAAACTTACTATAACTTTCTCTATATTACTAAATTAGAAAGTAGATATAATAATAGCTACTAATAATAATTAGTAATTTTCTAGAGTTAGGCTTAATATAAAGTAGATATAAAGTATATATATATAGATAATAAGTTCTAACTATATTTAAAGGCAATAGCAGCAGTAGTAGAGGTAATAAGAATAGTTTTAGCAAGAAGTTAGCTAGAATCTATATAAAGACTAGCTTAGGCTTAGCTAGATAGTAGGTAAGGCTAGTATATTAGTAAGATTTAGTATATATTAAGAGCAAGAGGTTAAAAGAGGAAGAAAAAAGAGAAGGAAGTTAGAGAGAGTCTAGCTAGCTTTATATTTAATAAAAGCCTAGATTTAGCGTAGCAGCTGTACTAGCTGTAGCTAGCTATAAGGCTAAGAGGTAATTTATATATAAAATAAATATAAAGTAAATCTAAATATATAGGCTGTTACAGCTAAACACTAGATATTTATACTAGCAGCTATATAATAGTATAGAACTAAGCTAGCCTACTTCTAAGAGAGTAATAAATATTATACTATATTAAGATAGTCTGCGTTTCTAGAGAGCAGGAATAATTAGAGACTAATAGATAGAATAGAGAATTAAGCAGGCGCAGAATAAGCCTAGCGTAAAGCTAGAGTTAAGCTATAGCTAGCTGTAAAGCTAAGAGGTAATTTATATATAAAATAGAAGTAAAGTAAATCTAACTATATAAGCTATTACAACTAAATACTAGATATTTATACTAGTAGTTATATAACAGCTTAGAACTAGACTAGCCTACCTCTAAGATAGCAATAGATAATATACTATATAGAGATAAATTATATTCTTAGGGAGAGAGAATAATTAGAGGCTAGAGAATACAGCAGAAGAATAAACAGAAGCAGTATAGCTCTAGCATAAAGCTAGAGGTAGGCTTAGTTTTTTAGGGGTTATTAGCCTCTTTAGAATACAGCTAGTAAAGCTAGCAATATTTATATATATATAGAAGACAGGCAGATTCTAGCTAGCATAGAGCTAGAGCTGCTCTAAAGAGCAAAAACAAACAAAGGTAGAGTTTTTCTTTCTACTAAAGAGTTTTCTAGGCTTAATATAAAAAGAAGATATACTAGTTATATAGCTTTATAGCTATCTAGGGTATTTAATATATAACTAAAATAGAAATAAGAAAAGGTATTATATTTATTTCTAAATTAGTTTTATTTAACTTTTATATTTAGTCTACTTATATAGTAAGTATATTAGTTATTATATAGTACTATACTTTTAATAAAAGTTTTATTATAAAAGCTTATTATTTTCTAACTTAGCTTTAGTAGTACTATTCTTTAATAAGTTCTTTATTATTATAACTTATTTTATAGTAGCTAAAAGGCTATTTTAGTATATATAAAGTATACTCTTAAATATAATATTTACTTAAGCTATAATATAAATATTACTTTACTTTCTATCTTTTAGTTAAAATAGCCTTTATTACTTATTAAGCTCTTTACCTCTAGCTTTCTATAAAATTCTAAAGTATATTTTATTAAGTATAAGCTTCTCTACTCTCTTACTTCTAGTCTATATTAACTTTATTAATACTTATTATTAGTATATTTTTATTCTAAAGCTAACTACTTACTAAGAGAGTTTAGTTTCTACTATATTAATTATAAAGCTTCTTCTCTAAGTAGTATAACTTAAAGTCTATAGTAAAG